TAACGCATCAAGACCAAACCGGATGGATCAGTTGATCGTTACAAGGCCAGACTCATGGTGAAAGGTTTTCATCAAAGACCAGGCGTGGATTATAATGAAACTTTTAGCTCCGCCATTAAACCAGCCATGGTTCGTCTTATTTTATTTATTGAAGCAAACTCCAATTGGCCTATCCGTCAGCTTGATGTGTCAAATGCATTCATGCATTGGACACTTGAAGGACCAGTATACATGGAACAACCCCAAGGCTTCCTTGATCGCACCAACCACATCATATGTGTTCATTAAAGAAGCCATTGTACGGTTTGAAACAAGCCCCACGAGAGTGGTACTTTTGTCTCATAACAACGTAAGAAAATTTTGGTTTTAAAGGATCGAAGGCTGACAACTCCCTTTTTATCTGCTCCTCTAGAAAAAATATAGGTTACTGCCTTGTGTATGTTGATGATCTAATTTTGACAAGATCCACAATCACTCTTCTCCAGAAAATCATTCAATAACTTTGAGTCAGCTGTTGCACTTAAAGATTTGGGTTCGCTCTCATATTTTCTTGGAAAAGAAGTGACCTGGCGACCAAATGATCTTCAACTCAATCCAAGTATATCTCAAATCTCTTGAGACGTTTGAATATGCATGAAGCTACCCCGGTGTCCGCGCTATCTTCTCCACAAACAATCATATCCAAGGGATTCTTCCAATAACTTTGAAGATCCTACATTATTTCGGCAAGTGGACAGAACACTTCAATACTTAGCCCTCACTCGACCTGACTTTACCATGGCAGTCAACAAGCTAAGGCAGCTCAATTCATGCAGTCACCCTCCATAAACCATTGGCAAGCCGTGAAACGAATACTCAGGTACTTAAAAGGAACAATAGGTCATGGTCGTATTCTCAAACCTTCAAGTTCTCCAACTCTTTTTTCTTTTTCTAATGCGGATTTGGGTGGTGACAAAATTGACCGAAAAAGTACCTAAGCGTATGTCGTCTTCCATGGCACTAATCTCATCTTATGGTGTTCGATGAAACAAAACATAGTTGCTCGGTCTAGCACAGATTCAAAGGACCGTGCCTTAGTGTTAGCAGCATCTGGAGTTTTACTGTCTGCAATGTCTTCTTAGAGAGCTCCAGCAACCCCTTCATACCACACCAAGACTCTGGTGTGACAATGTGCCGGCCCCAATGGTTAAGATTCGTTTTGTCTCTCTTTCTTTTCTTTTGCCTTTTTGTGTGTCTGGAGAGAGCTTCCTTTTCTGCTAAGTCCTTCTCTTTCATTGTTTGCAAGGACATTTAGTTATCAGCTCGTTCATAGAGTCGTTACATGGATCAAGATTACATTAAGACTATTATTATGTAGTGAATTAAAATGTAAATAGCGATGTCTGAATTATTATAATACTCCCTTGTTTGTAATTGGTGTGGTGGTGTTTAACTTGACATGAAATTTAAGAGAAATGTACATCAACTCATTAAGGGTAAGGTAGAAATTCAAAAGATTAATTGTTTCTAAATAAAGAAATATGACATTCTTTTTTATTAAAAAGGAAAGAATACCACATAAATTAGGACATAGAAGAATTAGTAATTAATACCACATGACTTCTTTTATGCATTGATTGTCTGCTTTAGGACTGTTTTATTTGATTGATGAGACGCGAGGTTAGAGATGTGGAGGCAGACCCTAAAGTCTAAAGGTTTCAAGTTGAGTAAGACTAAGTCTGAATATCTGGAGTGTAAGTTCAGTGGGATGACACAGGAAGTGAAAGGGGAGGTGAGGCTGGATTCACAAGTCTATCCCTAGGAGAGGAAAATTTAAGTACCTTGGATCTATTATAGAAGGGATGGAGAGATCGACGAAGATGTCACACATCGTATTGGGGCAGGATGGATGAAATAGAGACTTGTTTCCGATGTCTTTTGTGATAAGAAGGTCCCAGCAAAACTCAAAGGTAAGTTCTACAGTGTGGTAGTCAGGCCAACAATGTGTATCGGCTGAATGTTGGCCAGTCAAGAACTCCCACACCCAGAAGATAAAAGTAGCAGAGATGAGGATGTTGAGATAGATGTACGGGCACACAAGCTTAGATAGGATTAGGAATAAAGTTATTCAAGACAAGGTGAGTGTGGCCCTAATTGAGGACAAGATGCGAGAAGCGAGGCTTCGATGATTTGGACATGTAAGGAGGGAGAGCACAGACGCTCTCCTGCTATAGCTCGGAACACAAGTGAATTTAAAAAAAAAATTGTTTGTCTTCTAACAAATCTTTTTCCCTTTACTATGGATTGAAAGAGAATACATCATTCATATTGAATCATACATTTGGCAACGGACAGTTGAAAAATTGACCAATCCACTGTCACAGTAGTTCAACTCTCCTACCTCCCTTGTTCCTCAGCAACAGCAAGAAAGAAGAAGATAGATTATCAACATCTCAGCACAAAACAAGAAAACAGAATGCACGAATGAAGAAAACATTTTAAACTGGACATTGCAGACTTGCAGCACGCAAAGAAACCTGCACCACCACCGCTCTGTTCCAGGATTACTTATGAAAGCTACCGTTGATGTCAATACTGTTCGGGTCAGGGTATCCATTACCTCCACTAGCACAGATACCGAAACTCTTGTCCACCAAGGCTTAGGTATATCAGAAGCCTCCGCTAGAATTCAAACCTTGATTCTTATAGTTGTCAACTCACTTCATTAACCATTAGGCCACACTAATGGATTTCACTATTCCATTTCTTCAAGTACCATCTCCTGTTGTCAGATTGGATGTTAGATGCACATCAGAAAAACAAATTTGACACTAATATAGAAGTTTCTCTGTCAAAAGTTTTACAAAGTCACATTTATAGTTTACTTAAAGCTAAAATATCGACAATAATGCAATAAACCATTCAGAGAATGATATACTCTATACAAATTGCATGACAAACTGAGGTGAGAACAGGTGCCTGATACTTCCAGATCCAAAACGCCTCAGCTATTTTGACGTAGGAGCAGTAAAACACCACAAGAAAAGAGCAATTTAATTTCATCTTTCGAATAATCTCCGGTTGGAGCATTCATTTCAAAGCACATGAGAAGGAGCATACCTAGAGACTAATAACTGGATAGAATAGAATTGACTGACTCCTGAACCTAAACGGAATTTGAAATGCTAGGTCAATATTTACTAAAAGGAAATAAACATCACTTATTTTCAATGCTGGAACCTTAAGAGGGCAATAAGAAAATAAGAGAGAACCAATAAGCTTTGGTATAGCTAAAAGCTCATGCTGGTGTCTATTTGCGGCAACAGTTCTTTCAGCTGGTGAAAAACTTGTTGTGTCTTCCAAATTTGTCTCAGCTGCCGCTGGAACCAGCTGTGATTTTCAAGTTGGCTTCTTCTATCTCTAAAAAGTGAGTATTAGAGACGATAAGAAAAGGAGGCATTTGACAAAGCAGCATCACAATATTATGGAAATTCATTCACTTCATAACTGCAGCTAAAACTTCAAAACAAAAAAAAAAGGATTTAAAAACAGTTCCATTTAAATATCTATGCATCTAAGGATAGAGTGAAATGCATGATGAATGATTCAATAAGTACTAGTGTATTGCTGGGAAAAAACTGTTGGAAACAATAGAAAGAGAAAAAGAGAACCTTTGCTGTCACCATAAACATGATTCGTCAGATTCAAAAAAGTACACAGATCCCAGTTCTCATCTACTGGCAACTCAGTTCAGTGCAAACTTTTCCACAAGGTAAAAAAACGGCCTTTTGTCGATGGAACTTTCCGAGAAACAATAAGATGAATTCCAAAACCAACAAGCTCTCCAGCTACTAGCTTATTAGTGAACTTCAGCATTGACTACAGCTAGAAGCTAGGTTGACCAATTTTATTTGCAATACTTGAGAAGCTGAGTGCAATCCAAAGGTCAAGGGACAGCATTGATAAAGGTATGCAAGAATATGATTTTAACATATCCAACCTACTTTCACAGATATTCAAATCTTGGCTACTATTCAGCAATAAGCTTACTTATCAATTCGTGCTGATTGCTACTACTAATACTGATTGATTAAGAACAATAAAGTCCAGTGAAGCTCATACTTTTGCCAGTGTAAACTAAATTATAACAACTTATTGCCTTATATTCACTAAATCTCCATTTATCACTTGTCATGAAGAGTCAGTAAATAGCAAATAGGTAGAACACACTACGAGTAAAATACAGTAAGTAATCCATAGTTACTTCTGAACACACCAAAATAACCAAATGATATAGCTACCTTTAAAAGCAACGATACTGTATAATGATCCACTAATACTTCTCACAACATCAAAAGAACCACATGATACAGCTATCTTTTAAAACAATGATACTAAATTAAATGATGATCTTACAAATATACACCATCAAAAAACATGATCTATAAACTGCTCCGGCTAACATCTGATTGGCTAGGAATGATAAGCTAAATTGCAGAACAATTTGAACAACAAGATACATCATTGGGAAAAGATCAACCAGAGTAAATCCCAAATCCAGCACCCTAAAAATCTTGAAGCTGAACTTTCAAGAGAAAAAGTGAGAATGTACCATTGTTAGAGGAGGAGTTGTCAAGTGCAGCATCTATTAAACTCGACTTCAGCAGCTTCAGAGAAGTTGTCAAGTGTTACTCTATAGATAATTCAATAGAAGGAATAAACAGTATAGAGGTCTTTCATTACCCCTAACAGGGTATCAAATTCTCCTCCTTGGCTTTCTCCTCACAGAAATCAAGCAACAAGTCATCAATATGGCATGTCTTGACCTTACTATACGTTTAAGTAGCTATCCAACGTTCTCTTCCAACAAGATTATCCAAGTAATATTCTCCATGTAAGAATCCTTTTACAATCCATAACATGGTTAAATTTGAAACTTGAATCTTGCTGTAAGCCTTATCCACTCCTAGATGATACAAGGAATGAATCTCAGCAGGCGCCCATCAGCCTCATCTTTGAAAAAAGAAGAAAGTTACACAGCTTGCTTGCCGCTATTAAAAGGTTCTTCCATTTACTAATAATAAAAAGAACAGATAGAAAAAATGGTAGGCTTAATACATGATTTGAACCACTAGCCTCTACTTTAGAACCATTCTCCTCTAGTATTTGTTGTGAAGCTCATTCCACAATATTCTGAATATCCTCCAAAATATAGAAAGCATGAATTCAGATGACAGCATTACTTCTTACTATAACTAAGATGTATTACATCCTTGGGAGAACTTTGGAATCAAGGACCTAAATTTGCTCCCACTTGTTCAAAAGTTGTTCGCAAAAATACTTGCTACCAAAACCAATGAAAGAAGTAAGCCTCTACACTTTCTTGCTAGCTCTTGCCCAACATTTGTTAGGTCTTGAGTACAGTTTCTTTATTCAAAACCTTTTTCTTTGATAGCATCCAACTTTGCTCATCATTAAACAAATAGAGAAGTTGAAGACCGCTAACAAACTTGGCATATCTGGCAACTTCACCTAACCAAGTAGTCATAAAAGTTCTATTACTGTTGTTAGCAACACAAGAGGCACAATTTTAAGTCAAACCATGAACAATTGTCCAAATATCATCAAGAATGACAAGGGTTACTCTTGAGCACGAGCTATCTTTCATCTCCAGGCGCTTTCTCAAGAGAAGTGATCTGAACAATGTTTTTTAGAGAATATATTAGATCTTCTCCATAAGTCACAGATAATTTATTTGGTGATCAACAAACCCCCAATGGAACTTCCAATTTGAATTTCCATGGAGGGAATGAATTAGGAGAAAAAGAAAGAAACCTTTGTAACTTGAATACAGTACAATCATTTACAATTATGCAGCAAAGAGATTTACATAGACATCTACTATTCACTGCAAACTAAATATTAACTTCTGTTAGCCAGAACTGCATACAATTTCACAAGCTCTTCCTTCACCATGAAAAGTACAGAGGCAGCAAAGACGCTCTGTACTATCTTTGTGCGCATTCCCTGATAGAAGCTTCTGAATCCTTCATGACAAATCATCTTAATAACAGCATCCGCTGTACCTGAATATCTTAACGAGATATTTCCACCAATCTCCTGCTTGGCTTGAAGCCTAGACTTCACAACCAACAATGGATATGTCGAAACAGTTGCTCCTAGTTTAGCAAAGGCTCCGATTACAAAAACCTCCCAAGCAGTTATATTTTGTACATATTTCTTCTTTGCAGCGCGCTTAGTCCTTAACTGCTTTGACAAACTCTCATAAATCATGAACTGAATCGAGGGATTGGACACCATGATCAATGCTGGGATGACTCCTTTCCAAAATCCAATAACTCCGGATTCATCATAAATCTCACGTGCTGCTTGGAATGTTCCGTAGGGATGAGGTTTCGATGAATCAAGCTCGGACAGTTTTGCCTCCAATGAAGCAGCAGTGAAGTGATTTTCAGAAGCTTCCTTTAAAAGGGATTGCCTCTTTGCCTCCAAAATTTTCCTTTCTGCTTGTGTATGAGTCTGCATACGAGTAACAAGAATCCATATAGGGTTTGTCAGCAATACATTTAGTGATCCAGCAAGAGCTGCCACAACAAGCCAAGAGAACACCCCAACAGAGCCATCCCCTCGGCCTTTTTTCTTATTTGCAGATGCTATTGCCTCAGCCTTGTTCTTGAAAACCTGGTAAAAATAGTAGTACACACCCTGTGACACAGTGGTTCCAAGCAGAGAAGGCTTCAGGCCGCTGTAAAGCCCCAACAAACCTTCATTTCTAACCACCTGCAAAATTTGAAAAAGGGCACTTCCCCGAGAATCCCGGCCCTTTTTCGCGACCCGCTCCGTTTGCTGCCGGGTATTCACAATTTGGAGGGGGTAAGTACTTACTTGTGCAATTATGCCTCCACCAGCTCCAGCCAGTCCATTCGCCAAGGCACTTGACATGTTCAGTCTTTACTGTTCAGAGTAAGGACACTAGTTGTGCCAAGCACATAAACTTCCTATGTTAATCTCAACAATGGTTAGTAACAAGTCCAACTCAACATTGACAATACACTAAAGCTCACTTGGTTTATTAAAAAAATTATATATTGTCATACAAAGATTTAATAATGCAAGGATTCTGATGGAGGGATTATTTTATATCAAACTTTTGGTTCATAGTAACTAAGAAATGGATATGAAGTGTACAACTTAAACTTGTATCAAACTTTATCCATGTTTAATTCATGATGGTATTGCTTATAGCACATTGGCGTTGGTATAAAATAATATAGGAATTGGAGTATAAAGCTGTACTAGCTCTACATGTATTAACTACACAGGAATTGAAATTGCTACCAAACATTGGATAAGCAATGCATATATTTTACACCCTTATTTTGTCCAATATATCCAACCAAACACATCATTATTGAGTTCAAGATTGGAGATAGCCAGAGACTAAAGGAAAGGTTTTTGACTTACTATTTAATGGTGCCACAGTGCTCTTACTTCAACTAATTAATGTATCGCCAAACCTAGATGTCATCTCAATAGTTGGCATGCCTGGACCAGGTAAAACACCAAAATATATATATATCCCATCTCAGAAAATATGTTTGATCAGATATGTCTTACCCAACTTATGCATGCCAACACTGAGATAACATCCAGGTACAACAATACTTTTATGCAAGAATGGATGTACGATAATTACTTAAAAGATCGTCAAACATAGATGTTATCTCAATTGTTGGTATGCCAGGGTCGGGTAAAAAAACCAAAACATACTCTATAACTCTATATCATACTCAGAACATATAGTTTGGGCAGAAATGTCTTACCCAATCAGGCACACTAACAATTAAGATAACATGTGGGTACAACAATCCTTCAGTTTTTCTCTTTCAAGTTCGCGGAGGCGCAGAACAGGCTTATTGAGGAAACCCTACTTTTTAAAGGGACAAGGGAAAACGAGTATTTATAGAGGGGTACTAGGTTAAAGGTCTGGACTTGAGAATCTTGGCATAACATGGGCTTCAGTTTTACATTTCCAGCTGAATGTGGGCTGGTGTTTTCAGTTTAGCTTGTGAGGATTTGGGCTGCCATTAATGGATTTTGCTGATATTGGGCTAACGGTGAATTACAAGTTGCGTTCCTAATTCGTGCTAAAATTATCTGGATCAGCATTTTTTATTAGGGTATTATTATTTTTAGCCCGTTCCATAAATTATTTATATTCGGTAGCCAAAAAAGAGTATAAAATTTGTATATAGCATATAGAATGTATATATATACAAAAAATATATATTTTTCCGCTATTATTTTGAGAGCGGCTATACAATGTCATTTTCTCTTTTTTATTTAATCATTTCTGAAATGACGCTGGATGGACATTTTAAATCAATGTTTATAATTTTGATCCTGTTAAGAAATATTTAGGAAAATAACCTTGAATTACATTTTTTTTGGAACCCCAGGAAAACTCGCAGCCGCTACAGCCTCTGCCACAGCCTCTGCCCTTCGGGTGAGCACTCTGTGGTGAGCACTCTGTGCGCACTGGGTAAACCCCCCACTGTGTAATAGCCTGCAAACCACACAGGGGATGTAAACCGCACTAGGCAAGCCCCGTGCGACAGGCTCAGACCCAGAAAGCATGCTAGGTAGAATTTTCTTCGATTATTAGAATTTTAAAGCACGTTGGCCAGAATTTTAAAGCATACAACATGAATGATAATTGTCAGGATTTAGCCATCACTAGAATTCCAGTCACAATGCTCAAAAAATTTCGGTGGCCAGTAGGAATTTATGGTAAAATCCTGACGATCACCATAATTGCTACATGCTTTAAATTTTTGCCTAGTGTTCTTTAAAATTCTGGTATTTTAGCAAAAAATTCTGTCAAGCGTACTTTAAAATATATGTTGATTTTTTCTCTAAGTTTTCTATAAGTGGTGTTAAAAAATCAATAGTGGCGCAATAGTATCCTGTATATGTCATTCTCCCTAACCATTTGATATTTGAAAGATCGCGATTCTTGGTAAGGAAAATATATCCAAAGTAAAATCCGAAATATTTGGTTAATAATAAAGAGATAACAATATGTGCGGCATTTGCGCAAGAGTTCTTTTCTGAGACCACTATTTATGTTCGTATTTCAAAGTAGAGTGCCATATATATTTGATTAATTATTTAGAACGGTCATTTCGCTCCCAAAGAGCTCCCTAAAAACGTTGTCAATATCGACAGCAGCTCCTGTTCAAGCTCTTGTTTCGGAGCGAGCAGAGCCAAGGTAAGAGGGAAGCCCGTCATAGAGCAGTCGACTAGAAGTAGAAGACTGCTGGCCTGGGAGAAGGCGGCCTCCTTGGTTCGCTAGCTGACTTGCCAGCGCTTGGATTCTCGAACTCTAAGAGCGGATTTCAGGAATTTGTTCACATCCGATTCGATGGCATCTGTCCGCTTTCTACCGCTGGAGCTCCTCTCCTTAGAGTCAAGTGGCTTTCACTCCTTCAAATCAATTATATTGGGAGGCCTCACTGAGCTATCGATCGCGAAGCTATCGCCCGGTTCAACCAACCGTCCGTCCTGGTGCCTTTGCTACTGATTTGACCGCTTCTCATCGTTAATCTTGTTTGATCCAATTATATAGTGTCTGCTATGATCTCATTTCAATAAACTCTCGAATGATTCTTTTGAGTCATACAACCAAAACCTTAGCATATACGTAACTACATAAAAGTACAATACAATATTGTTACAACTAGGTCAGGAAATAAACAAGATGCCATGGCTAGGGAATGCATTGTGTGACAGGCAAAAGACTGCGATTAAAGATAATATAAAAGTAAGAACCACGCGGCCCTATTACTACGCTTTCCTTTGAAGCTCAATTGACAATGCGTTGCAGCATAACGAGGGGCCTGGTCTAGAAGTTCATGCCAACAAATCACTTTTATTACTATTATTGATCTGAGTGAGACATGGCATGCATGTTTCTTTAGCTTCGTAACTACTCCCTTCGTCTCATATTAACAGTCGTAGTTACTAAAAATAATTGTCTCAAATTATTTGTCGTTTTGGAGTTCAAACAAAACTGATTATTTTTTTCCTTTTTTACCCTTAGTAATAATTGTTCTTGAAGATGCAGACATAAATAGAATAAATATTCAGTAAATAGAGATTATATCTTATGACATAAAATCCCTTTCCTAATTAATATTTTTAAGGGACGTGTAAAAGAGAAACACGACGCATAATATGAGATAGAGGGACTAGTTGCTAATAATGTGCATCCGATTAGGACTTAGGAGCTAAAATAATAATAGTATAATTGTTCACAGTAAGAAATTTTTGTAAGTACCTAGAATAACAAATAATATTTTTTAATAATAATTTGGTATTTAGTATTCATTGGGATATATGATTAATTCAAATTCGCATTGCATACCAGCAGAATAAGGCATACTAAAGAAAAAATGCTCCGGGTTTCTCAATTCTCAATTGTTCAAATTTGAGCCCTGTAATGCTGATTGAAACGTTGTTCTCTAAGACATGTTATTGATTGCAACCTTGTTCTCTAGGGAGTATTATTTAAAGACGTAAAAAATCCCTCTTATAGAATATTTGCATATCTTGAATAGGATTTTGCAGTTGCCAATTGCATTTCAGTTGATAAAATTCGCCCATTTTTCTGAAAACTTGGAATAGTTCCATACTGGGAAATCTAACAAGACCTCAAGAGTTGTTCTCAACTTACAATAATAACTAAAAAAGAATCATAATTTCTGGTAAAACAAAGCAAGATTATAATAACGGAGATGTTATAACTAGGTGTTATTGTGTTAGGAAAAACCATCATTGTATACGGGAATGGAAGAAGGACGTGGACGCACAAGATTGAAATCGAGGCTAGGAGCCGTTCGTATCGAGATCCATGAGAGGTGAACGGTGTGCTCATCATCGGGCCTGATAAAGCGACGCGCCCCGGACACAGGACGAGTTCTAAGACCTCGAAAAATACGGTAAACGGTTACACACGACGGATAGAGGGTCGTGATATTCGCACGATGCATATCTCGCTCGATGTCGGTTACTGATCATTAATTGACGAGAAAGGAAGATTTTTACCTTCTTAGACTTATACGGATGAAACTCTCCTACTATATAAAGGGGAAGTTTTTCTTTTGTAACATACATGGTAACACGCAAATCAAAGCAATACAAATCCATTTTCTGCCTTTTAGCTACTGTTAAAGTCCTTGTTTACTTAACCTGTTCTTCATTCACGACTGAGCTCGAATCAAGGAGTCCGATCGAGGACGAGGACGAGGTCATCGTTTGATCTAAGTTCAGGCTTGCCATAACATCACAATTGGTTTGATCGTTTATTTCGTCTTTAATTCATTTATCTAATATACGTTATTGTTTGTGTTGAATCAAACCACGTATCCTTAAACTGCGTACAATTTAATTATTATCCGATTTAAATGTAAACAGATTGGCGCCCACCGCGGGGCTAAAGATAATAGTGGTGATTTGATATGAATCTCCATAACACACCCTATTTTACGCTTGTTCTTTAAAGTCTTAATTTCAGATCAGCCCGAAAATGTCGAACTCTCAGTCTGCCCACTTGAACACCGACGCTGAGTCTAACCATCATGGCGAAAATAATAATTTGGTACCCAGCAACGAGGTTCCTCCTGCTGATCCCAACGGTGTCCCAGTTGCCGATCCGGTCGATGCTAACTCACAGGTGGCCATCGACGTCAATTTGCCAACTGATCTCGAAAATAATATTTGCGGGGGACCCCGACCAACAGCCCGAGAAGCGCCCGAAGGCGGAGGTGATGGGGTAAGCCTACGGCTAATCTTCGAAATGTTGTAGGCTCACCAGGCGGCAATAGCGCAGCTACAGAATCAAAGCCACGCCCTCAGTAGGGTTGATCCCGAACGATCCCGGAAAAGCACCCGAAGAAACGAACAAATCACAGAGAGACCGGGTAAAGCCAAGCTCGGGGTCAATCCCGAGATAATGAAAATGCTTGAAGTATTAATGAAGCGGGTGGAGTTAGGTGAGAAGAAAATTGAGGCTAATGACAAGAAGGTGGAAACATACAATTCCAGGGTCGATCGAATCCCGGGAGCACCCCCAATATTGAAGGGGCCGGATTCCAAGAAATTTATCCAAAAGACTTTTCCTTCGAGCGCAGCACCGAAGTCGATCCCAAAGAGGTTTTGTATGCCCGATATCCCCAAATATAACGGAACCACGGATCCGAAAGAGCATGTGACCTCCTATACGTGCGCAATCAAGGGGAATGACTTGGAAGACGATGAAATCGAGTCGGTGTTACTGAAGACGTTTGGGGAGACTTTGTCCAAAGGAGCAATGATATGGTACCACAACTTATCCCCTAATTTCATTGACTCATTTGCTATGCTTGCAAATGCTTTCGTAAAAGCCCATGCCTGGGCCATCAAGGTCGAGACCAGGAAGTCAAACCTTTTAAAGGTTAAACAAAGAGACAACGAGATGCTCAGGGAGTTCGTGTCAAGGTTCCAGATGGAGCAGATGGACCTGCCTCTGGTTGCAGATGATTGGGCCATTCAGATATTCACTCAGGGGTTTAACCCCTGAAGTTCCTTGGCCTCTCAACAGCTAAAACAAATTTGGTAGAGTACCCGGTGGTGACCTGGGTCGACGTCCACGAACAGGTACCAGTCATAGATCAAGGTCGAGGACGACCAACTTGGAGCTCCTTCTAGGTCTGTTTACCCCATCAGGGGCTGATGATAGGTCTAAGAGAGCCGTTGATCATGAGCCAAGNAATTGCAAAAAATGCACTAAAATATTTAAACACTATGTTGGCATAAATAAAGAATTTAGATGACTAAATCATCACAAAAGTAATTTGAAGGATAATTATTAGATATTTATATAAATAAAAA